GGGGAGCCCTGCCCAGAGCGCGGGCGCCCTCGTCCTCGCAGGAAGGCGCACCCCGCCTGCCCCTCGCAGCCACCCACACTCCGCCTCCGGGCGGACCCCGGCTTTTCAGCCGCACGCGTGCCCGAAGACCCCCGCCCCGTCTGTGCACCGGCTTCGAACCTGACACTAGCGCCGCCTGGAGCCTTGCGGACCGGGACCGAACACGCCTCCCCCGACCCGGAGCGTCCCGCGGCCACCGGGGGCGGGGCAGCGGGCAAGGGGCGGGCCCGGGCCAGAGGTGGCGGAGCCCAGGCTCTCTGGAACTGCAGCCGAGGCGCAAACGCAACTCCGAGTGGAGCCGGGAAAGAGCCCCAAGAACAGGAGAAAGAGAGAAGGGCTCTGTCCCCTTCCTGCCGGTCTCCGGGAGCAGCGTCTATTGTCGCCACCCCAGAATAAAGAACCCTGCGCCGCACTCGCTGGGCGCCGGGATGCCGCAGGTACTCGAGCGCGCTCCCGGGGAGATGCTGGGGACCCGCGCGCACAGGCGGCCGGGGGGCTGCGGAGGCTTTTGAGTGGGGAGGGGGCTTTTCAAGAAACTCGGCTCTTGTGCATTTCTTCAGGAGAGCCAGACTCCCCTCCATCTGTCCTCAGGCAGAACTGCCCAGGCTGCGAGGAGAAAGTTGGGAGCGAGAGGTCTCTCCGGAGGGGCTTCAAAGAGAACTAGGAGTGGGGCTTCTCCCGGGGAAGTGGGAATAAAGGAGGAAAGACTGCAAGACAGTTTCTTCCTAAATCCTGTCTCCTAAGGCCCACGCCCTCAGAAGTTTGTTATTCTTAGCTTTTAAAATCCGACTTTGAGCCTTCAGGGTAGCATGGCTGTGGGGGTCCCCTCCAAAGGTGGCATTTGCCCCTGAGACATGCACAGCCTGCAAGGAGTGAGCCGCCCCGGAGGACTGCAGAGTACAGCAGGGCCTCCAAAGCTGATCCCGCTGGTTTTCCAGCTCTGGCTTCTGCTCCTCATCCCTGACAGAGGCAGAGGACAGGGCCTGAGCCAAGGAGGACTTAGCGTTAGGATGAGAGAAAAGATTGGGGTGAGCTTCATGGGACGCAGAGGGACTTTAGCCCTGGCCCTGGAAGACAGGCTCCAGATGGCAGCCTTTGAGGACTGTGGGCAGCAGGCCTTCCTGGGGGCTTTCCCCATGTCTTCCTTGCCCAGAAACCTCAGGTGTGCCATTCTTCACTTCTCTTCTGCCTTTCAAGATGCTCTCTAGAACCCAGCACCCCTCTTATATCCCAGCTCCTGGTGGTTGCTTTTGGCTCTGCAGGGGACTGCATAGGGGCAGGGAACTGGGGAGTCAGGTGTCCCTCTGTCCCTAGTGGTGCTGACACACCTTCCTCTCTCCTCCCAGCCCCATCCTGTGGTGTGGTGGGGTCTTTGTCGCAAGGTTTCCCTCTCCTTCCGTGCGGATGACAGAGGAGGCCTGAGTACCAAAAGTTATTCTTTGCAGTTCTGGGGTGTAACACCCTCCCTCTCTAGGGAGCGTTGTGCTTTACTGATTTATTGATCCCCTGCCTGGAAGACAGTTGAAACCCTGCGTGTTTAAGCTGTTTGCCTCAGGACACACAGCCAGCCAAGGAAGCATTTCACTACAGTCTCCTTTCCAGCCCACTTAGAGAAACTGTGACTAGCACCACAGCCTCTGCGCGGGGACGGGTCTTGGTAAGTGCTGTGCTGGCTATTAGGGTCACAGGGGATTTTGAAGCCCTGCAAAGAATGGGGTGGGGACTGCTAGACTGACTCTGATTTTAGAGCCATACTTTGCCTGAAGGCCAGCTCAGGAAGAGCAGACAGCAGTTGTCTCAAAGGCTTCAATGCCAGTCAGAGTCATTTCTATTAACCCCCTGGAAAGGGGCTATTGTTATTACCCAACGAGACAATCCCATAAGGACAAGGCTGTCCAGTCAGAGAATGGAATTTGACCAGGTTACTTCTGTTCTTCGCAGCCTTCCCATACTTCCAACTTTGGTCCTTGAGAAAAAGTGCATCGTTTCCGAGTTTTCAGTGGAACAGACATAACCTGAACCAGGGCCCGCTTTGTCCCTATGGCGATCCAGCCTTTCCTAAGTGGGTGTGTGGTTTGCATTTATCTGTGTTCTCTCATTCATTCTTGATTTCTACTTCAGCACCCCACCTTCCTTCTCATCAGGTGGTTGATGGGTCTGCTTAGGTACAGGATGATTTTAATTTTGGCCAGGTTCATGTTGATATTTGGCCTACTGTTTATGTCTTTCAAAGGTTTCGAATGGAGCTCAGATAATGCACCCCAAAGACGCTAGCAAGGGCACAGACACATTAAGGGAGAGCTGAGTGTCAGCAGAAAGGGGAGACATCAGCCTTGCAGACATCACTCAGAGGATTCCAGCAGGTTCACCCACAGCACTTCCTGGCCAGATGGCGATCACCATGAGGGTCATGGATGAGAATGCCACCAACACCTCCACCAACTTCCTTTCTATGCTTGATCTCCACGAAGACCAAGCTGCCTCCCTCCCTTTCAACTTCAGCTATGGAGACTATGATATGCCCTTGGATGATGAGGAGGATGTCACCAATTCCCAGACTTTCTTTGCTGCCAAGATTGTCATTGGCATGGCCCTGGTGGGCATCATGCTGGTCTGTGGCATCGGCAACTTCATTTTTATTGCTGCCCTGGTCCGCTACAAGAAGCTGCGCAACCTCACCAACCTGCTTATTGCCAACCTGGCTGTCTCTGACTTCCTAGTGGCCATTGTCTGCTGCCCCTTTGAGATGGACTACTACGTGGTGCGCCAACTCTCCTGGGAGCACGGTCATGTCCTGTGTGCCTCCGTCAACTACCTGCGCACCGTGTCTCTCTATGTCTCCACAAATGCCCTGCTGGCCATCGCCATTGACAGGTGAGCACAAGGGTAGCAGGGGCAGCAAAGGCATTGCCATGGCCCCTTCCTTCATTGCAGTTGCAGATGATGAGAGGTAGCTGTATTCTTCAGAGACGGGGTTGCAGGAAGGACTCAAAAGTGTGCCCCAAAACTGATCAGGCAGTGAGTAGTTCTAGCTCTTTAGCTACGGTCAGCCAGGGGGCCATAGCGCCCCCTACAGTTGAGAAGTAGGAGGGCCTTTGGTCCTCCTCTATGGACTTGCTCTTTGATATTGTACCTGTTTGAGGGTCTAGAGGAGACACTAAGAGGAAGTCTTGAGGAACGAGTTCAAGTTGCAGGCATTTACCATTTGAGTCAACCTGAAAATCTTGAGGGAGTTTTCTATCTCATCAAGATTCTGCTGTTAAAACAGAATTTCCCACACCTGTTGATTTTTAAAATAAGATAGAGGGGTTTGTTCTGGAAAATGGGGGGGGTGGAGATGCTTACCTCTAACTTTGTTGTGGCTATTGTTGTGATAGTCCTTTGCACCTCTTCCTCCTCTGGAAAACGGGGGTGGGGGGGAGATGCTTACCTCTAACTTTGTTGTGGCTATTGTTGTGATAGTCCTTTGCACCTCTTCCTCCCTTTGCCTGCAACAGTGCAGCAGATCTGTTTCTAGGGATGGTAAATAAAATCACTAGGCACCTTCTGCTAATCTTTTTATATTAGTCTTTTCATTTAGTATGAACTTACATTTAGTATGAGCTAATGGGCCAGGGTGGTCTTTGTTCCCTAGGGGAAGTCTTTGCACAGTTGGGTTCTCATTACAAATTACCTTGTTACGGTCTACAGACACTTTCCCTGAGGGGCAAACCAGGCCTTAGTGAGCTTGGATCCGAACAACTTGTCTGTTTCCTTTAACCTAGAGATGTTGGAGCACACATGCTGTTTCTGTCCCATGGCCTCAGGGCTCTGGGGGGAAAGGTTTGACTTGGTCCTTGCAGTCAGGGCACCCTAGGCAGTGTTCTGAAGAGGAGCACAGGTAATAGAGTATATGTTCTAAAGCCACTGGCAGGGCCACGGGGGGTAGGATAACCTGGAAAAGGACTGCTCCTGGGGAAAAGGCGCTACTACCCCTGAGGGATAGAGCTGCCTCTTCTTTTCTCCAAGGAAGTAAGTCAAGGAGTTAGCAGCTTAAACAGCTTTTGGTCTGTCACTGATAGAAGGTGCTTGGGAGCGCCATCCTTGCAGACGGCTACTTGGCCAAGGACCACATGAGTCATGGAGCCCCACGGCATTCTGTCCACCTAGGCAAGGACCTCGGGTAAACCAAGAGAAGAAGCAAAATCAGGTGGAGTATTTGCCTCCTAAGTTCCCTTCAGAGCTACCAAGAGAGAGTTCCAGAGACTTTGTCTCTGACATCTCTTCTGAAATAGAGACTGCCATCATCTTAGCTCATGAACAGGACAAAGCATACAGGGTCATGTCCTGAAGCTTCATGTTAGCAAGACATCGTTTTTCTGGACGGTGTTCTCGGCCACCAAAGGTGGAGTAGATAGCTGGGTGAGGTAGTGCACACCTGTAATCCCACTGACTCAGGAGGCAGAGGCAGGAGGATCTCAAGTTCGAAGACAGCCAAGGCAACACAGCAAGACCTTGTCTAAAACAAAACAAAACAAAACAAAAAACCAAAAAGTGATGTAGAAAGGTCTCTGCTATCGACTGGGGCCATGTTCCTTGGGTAAAACCCATTTTTCATGTAGGGACCTCCTTGTTGAAAGGGGTAACAACTACAGGAAAGAACAGCTTCAAGCTGGAAGAAAGCTAAGGTAAACTAAAAGGCATCAGGTTATTTTGAACCTGTAAGAGGCAATATCTGTGTCAATCGATCTACCGAACCCCTTCGAACTCACCTCCTACTTTCACACAAAACTTAGCTTGTCTAAAATGCTGCAGGCATTTCTCTTGAGTATGAGTTTACACCACACAAATTAGATACAATAAGAGATGAACTGGGGGACTGCTTAGTATCATGGGGATTGCTACTGTTTAGAGCGGAGCCGTGATTGGAAACTTGTACCCAGACACTGAGGAGACACTGTGTGCTCGTCTTGGGCCATCCAGTGGCCTTGGCTGACAAACTGGCTCATCCAATGCAGGAGGTTCTTTTTTTCAATGTGTGTGATCTTTGCTTCAAAATATTGTGTGTATTGTCACTCATTTCAATTGTGTGGTTAGGAATCACTGACTTTTGTCTGTTCTCATGTATTCTTTAGGATTTGCTCAGTGATTTCCAAGTTTGATTTGGGCAACCAATTTTTATTTTGCTAGAATGCATACAGTTATAAAAATGCCTTTGCTTTTGTTTAATAAAATTTCTGTCGGAGTGTTGGGAGTTACTCTGCCCGAGTTTAAGTTCTTGCTGAACCACCTGTTAGGCATGGGGCCTTAAGTCAGTCAAATAATATTATTCGGTGAACCTACATATGTCTCTCTGCCTCACTTTTTTCATCTATCATATGTGATAGTAAGAAAATTGAATGTACTGGATTGTTTTGAGGATGAAATGAAATAATACATATACATGTAACAGTGTTCAGAACAGAATAAGCACTGAGCACACAGTAGATATAATAATTTTGTAATTCTTAAATTAATCTTCGAAGAAAAATGACTACAACAACAATAAACCCAGGTAAACTAAGGAAGGTTTCTGGTCCACTAGCATCTCTGTTTTCATCAAAATTATTATTATTATTTTTTAAAGATTTTCTCCATAAGACACATGTGCTTGCCAGAGACAAGAGAGAGGGAAAGTGAGAAAGTACCTCCCAGGGGGGTGGCCACACCAAAATCCCTTCTCTTCCATTCTCCCCCTTGGGATTTTGGGCATGCATGCACATGTGCCAGTGTGTTTTTTAAGCCACCGGGTCTGAGACTTAAACTGTAGAGCTGGCTATGGGATCCACATCCTTAACCACCTTGCCATCTGCTGGCCCTGAAATAATTGCTTTTATGATGTGATTTGAAAAATAACAACAACACAGTGTTTCTAAGAAAGAGCAGAACAGAATTATTCATCTTTTACCTACTTGGATTTCTCTGTTTCTATTATTAGTTCCATTGTTTTCCTGGGTGTGTGAACTAGAAAGCCCCCTTTGTCCAGGTAGCTCTCTCCCCTTCTCCAGCATTCATTCAATTTCCAGGTCCTGACAGTACTCATCCCTGCCCCCACCTTGTTCACTCAGAGCTGGATGATCAGAGTTTGCTCTTGCTTTTCATGCTTTCAGTGTCTCCTGACTGCCCCTCTGCCAACCCAACTTCCCCCATGGTCCATTCTCAAGTTGTGCATTCATTCAAGTTCATCCTCATTCATTCATCCATGCATTCAGTCAAATATGCACTTTTATAGAGTGACTATGACATAATTTACAGATTCTCTTCCAAGTACTGGGGGTATGAAACCAAGTATGACAAAAATCTCCTTGCCTCATGGAGCTTATACCCAAAAGATGAAGGGAGTCAGGCAAACAGAAGAAAGAAAGGTTATTTCAGAAGTGAAAAATACACTGAGCTAAATCAAACACACACACACACACACACACACACACACACACACACGCTGAGAGTGGAATAGTGGAATCTCTAGATGTGTAGTCAAGAGAGGTATTTCAGAGGAGATATCTGAACCAACCTCTGGGGGTGGAAAAAGCCTACTTTGTGAAGACCAGGAGAAAGCATTCCAGACAAAGGGAATTAAATTGCAAAGGCCCTGAGGACTTAATAGGTTTGGAACAAACCTGATGGGTTCTAAGAACAGAGAAGGCCCCTGCAGCCCAAAGGAAATAAGCAAGGCTGCTGCAGAATTAATCTTCTGTCTTGTACCCAGGTTTTCTCTTTTGCTTAAAAGATCTCTAGCTCCGTTGCCTAGAAAGCATAGCGCAGACCCCTTGGCCTGCTCTTCCAATCTTTTATTTTCTAGCCCCAGACTGCCTCCTAGCCTCATGCTAATGAAATATATTTATGTGCTATTTTTCAAAAAATGATTGCAACCTTTTTAAAACTGTCATCTCAACTTTTTATATTTCTATTCACTCATTAGGGTGAAGTTTTATGAAAATTCTATTAGGTGCTCAGAATTCACAGACAGCAAACGTTTATAAAAGAAGTAAAATGTGATCACCAATCTCAGGGAGCTTATCATAGAGTGGGTACAGGAAGAGGAGAACTAACACAGGTATAGGGGAGAACTAACACTCACGGAACAGCTGAAGAATAGGTAAGGATAACATTTACATGAAACTTAGAGAACTTAGAGAAGTCAGAGGAGGCTTAACTGGCCTTCAACAAATAAAGACTAGCTAAGGAGAGGAAAGATTTCCAAGAGGGTAAACCAGTGTTTGCCCAAGCCTAGAAGTGAGTGTGAAGTGCCTTGTGGAAGTATGTCAGGCAGGCCAAGGACCATGAGAGTACAGATCAGAAACGACAGGGTTATATTACAGAAAATCTCAAATCCAGGCCTAGAAAGACCTGATGCCAGAAGGGAGCTGAAAAAGATCATGAGAGAACTTGGTTTTCCTACATCTGGGCTTCCTCTTTGATGTGGAGATACCCATCCTGTTGTTGAGGTGTGTCTCTAGGATCCCATAGCAGTTGGGGTTCTGGAAGAGCCTCCCTTCCTGAGGCTATGGATCAGTCTGTGTACTCATCTGAAGCCTCTCCTCTTCTGTCTTGATGAGACCAGTGAAGGCTCGAGTAACCTTTCCCCACTCAGAAAGCACAAATTTGCCCCAGTGAACTCATTGGTGAGTCTCAGCATTCTCTATCCCATGACTGGCCTTACAGCTTCTGGGATTACCATCAACATGATTAGATCTGGGGATATGGACAGAGGGGTCCCAAAGGTCCTTTGCTTAATCACCTAGCCCACTATCATCACACGATTACTACGTGAACATTTCTGTGTTCAACAGTTTTTGTTACTTGTTCTCTGAGAACTGTTGGCTCTGGATGGATCTGGACCCAGGCTACTGTAGTGGTGACACTCAGGGCAAGGCCAAGGCAGACTCATAAGCAGAGAAAAGGAGCTGTCAATGGTCTGACCCTTTCTTGGAACATCAATATGTAGAACCAACTACGATGGAGAGTAAACAGAAAGGCTGTTAGGATGCCAGGAAGGCGGGAAGATGGGACTTGCTTGTTCTTGCTGAAAAGGGAGAGGCCAAGGCCCATGGGAAAGGCCACTGGATTTGCAGCAAGATATGGATCTGAGTCCTGGTTCTGTCAGTTTCTAGCTATGTGGCTTTGGCAGGTTATTTAACTTTGCCAAGCCTCAGTTTACTCATCTGTAAAATGAGAATCTTCGCTCTCTTACCTACCTCATAGGGTTGAGATTATCTCATTAAAAAGGCAGATTTAAAAATACTCCATAAATGGTAAACTTCTTTATAAACATAAGCAAGTATCGCTACTTCTAGAGTTCTGAATTTCTGATCCTGGCATAGCCACAGCCGATAGAAATCTTCAACACATTTCTGCAGTTTGCCTGTTGGTAAATGTATCAGCATGGTCTCTTGCACAGCTCATGGCACCAACCCTGGAAGTAGAGTTAGGGTGATGTCAGAGACAGCCAGGATGAAATAACTATCTGATGGGTAGCCACAGATTACTCTGAAGATTATCTGTGATGTAAAGAGCTGGATCCAATAAAACAGAAAGTTATAGAAGACTTGCAAATGCAGTATTTGCCAAAAAAAGGTAAAGAAAAATTGTTGTGTATACACAATAGCTCTGGGGGCGGGGAAGCATTGTAAGGTACTATAGTTTTTTTACATCAATAATTTGTTGTTTGTATATAGTGTGTTATTGGAGCCTCATAGTATCCAGGAGAGATTCCCATTTTACAGAAGAGAGAATTGAATTTGAATTTATAAGGCTCAAATTTCCATAGCAAACTTGTGGCAAAGTTGGGATCAGATTCTTGGTCTCATGGGTTTTAAATCAGTGTTCTTTTCCTAAGTGTTCATTGAAAACACACTCTGAGCTTGAAACGTGATAGAGACTTAGGAGGTTGCTACTGGGACAAGAAGAAATAGACTTTTACAGTTGGTGCCCACGGAGGATTGGTTCCAGGACCCCCCATGATACCCCAATCCATGGATGCATAAGTCTCTTACATAAAATGGTGTAATGTTTGCATATAACCTACACATATCCTCCTGTATACTTTAAATCATTTCTAGGTTACATCTAATACCTAATACAATGCAAGCAGTTGTTATACTGTATTAAGTTTCTTATTTATATTTGAAATTTTTTTAGACTTTTGCCACAGGGTACGTGAGAGAAAGTGAGAAATCATCCCTTATCCCTCAGGAGAGATGGTCATGCTGCATGCAATCCCTTCTCCATTCTCTTCTTGGCATTTTGGGCATGCATACACATGTGCCTGGAGTGATTTTCAAGTCACTGGGTCTAGGACTCAAACTGTGGAGTCAGCCATGTGGGATCCTGCACTTCAACCACCACGACACCTCCTGACCCCTTATTGGTATTATTTTTAATTGTTGTATTGTTATTTAATTTCTTTCTGAAGAAATTTTATTTCTTCCATGAAAGAGAGAGACAAAGACAGAGAAGAGAGACACACAGAGTGAGTATTCCCAACAGAGCCTGGGCACCACAATCCACCCCCAGCTTTAGCCATCTCCAGATCATGGGCATGTGTGTGCCTGGCATACTCAGGAAGGTCTCTGGACATGAACTTGAGCTCTTCCAGTGTGGGTCAGCCTCACACACCACTGCATTTTTACTGCTGTGTCACGGTCTATCTTCCACTCCTGAGTATTATTTTAGTTGTTTATTTTGTGTGTGTGTGAGAGAGAAGCATCCTCAACATGATCCCACGGTGGGATCCTTCCCCTAGCTTCTCAGTCAACCAGAATCACGGGTGCACGCCGACACCTGGCAGGTACAGGTCGACCCGGGGACTGAGCCCCAGTCTTCCATGTGGCTTTCAGCATCACAGAGCATTGTGCTGCCACTGCACCACCAGGGCTGGGCCTCCAATGTATTTGATTTGCGGTTGAATCACGGATTGGGAGCCCACAGATACAGAAGGCTGACTGTATACAGTGAAAAATTTGTGTGGTGAACAGACATGAATATAAACATTTTCTTTGACAGAGTTATCATCCAAACATGGTGAGCTGGGGGCAGTGAGCCAGGGAGAGCAAAAGCACTAAACTCTTAGTTTTCACTATGAGTCAGCATATTTGATGCATTTGTTGCATCCAGAGAACCGTGGTCTCTGGAAAGGGCTCGGTGCACCTGCAGTGGCGATAGCCCTGGCAGAGCCCTGCAGACATTCCCACCTTACCCTCTAGCACTGGGAGATTGCTAGTCTGCCAGGGACAGTTGCTGGTGGCCAAGCATGGCAACCAGCTGAGTGTCCAGAAGATGGACTTAACCACCCAACTTCATCTAATATCTTCTGGGAGCTAAAAGAGGGTAGGCATTTCTCCAGTGATCTCTCTCAATGTCATTCAATGCATTTGGCTGCCTTTGTTATGGGAGAGGAACAAAAATAAAAAGAAAGAAAGAAAAAAAGAACCTCTTTCCAAATCCAAATCCTTTTTTTTGGGAGAGGTTTTTGCTATAGGGCATGTGTACTTGCCAGAAAGACAGAGACAGAGAGACCGAAAGCGAGAAATCACCCTCCGGGGGGGATGGTCACGCCACAATCCCTTCTCCTCCATTCTCCTCTCGGGATCTTGGGTATGCACACACACACATGCCTGGTGTGAGTTTTAAGCCACCGGGTCTGGGATGTGAACCGCGGTCAACCACATGGGAGTCCAGCGACATAGCCATTATGCTAACTGTTGGTCCCTCCAAATCCAAATCCTAAGAAAGAAGATCTTAAAGAGATTGGTTTCAAAGGAAATAATCAGTTTGCACTACCTGGGGTGAGCTGTGGACAAATGAAAATGTGTTTATTTCCAGTGTTGATTAGTCCATCACTCCCTCCCACTTCACTTCCCATCTTTCTCCTTCTCCAGCTTCTATCCCCTGCCAGACACAGTAAGTCTTCCAGGAAACTAGGGCTTTCTACATAAGTATGTGTACTCTCTCTGCAAAGGAGGCGGTCATACCGCACAAATGACTCACATCCCCCAGAAAGCATGCTCCTAGACCACTGGGGCAACAGCAGTGTGGTTTTCATTGGGAAGAACAAAAGCAGTATCTTTTACTGTCTGCTGCTTTGTGGGTAAAAAAGCACATTCACATATATTCTCAATCGATTTTCACATCACTCCTATGAGGTAGGGTTAAATATTTTCTGTCAAGGGTCCTGTGGTATACGATCTTGAGAATGTCACTCATCTCTCACCAGCCCTCATTTTTCTGCCTGAATAATGAGAGAAATGGCCACATGCTTTCCCTTCACCTTTACATGCAAAGCAATCACTTTAAAAATGTGGAATGAATAGGACCAGCAGTTGGCAAAATGGCTATGTTGCTGGACTCCCATGTAGTCGACCACGGTTCAAGTCCCGGACCTGGTGGCTTAAACTCATGCCAGCCACATGGGCGTGTGTGCCCAAGATCTTGAGAGGAGAATGGAGGAGAGGAGATTGAGGTGTGGCCTTCTCTCCTGGGGGGTGATTTCTCACTTTCTGTCTCTATCTTTCTCTATCTTTCTGGCAAGCACACGTGCCCTATAGCAAAAAACTCTGCAAAAAAATAAAATGTGGAATGAAGAAAAAACTTAGCTCCTACTTTCATTGGAAAGGGCCAATTCTCCTAGCATTTCAGAATTATTAAATATTTTTAGCTTAAGACTAATGTAAGTTAATTAGGATGACTAGCCTGGTAGCAGGGAGGACAAGGTATAGTGCCAATCTAGAAAGCAAATGGAAGTATTACTGCATTTAACAATAATTGTTACCATTTTTAAGTATATGCTAGGTTTACAACTGTGCCAGGATTAGTGCATACTTTTTCACATTTAATCTTTAAAATCAAACAAACAAAACTTTTGCAGATAAGGAAACTGAAGTTCAGACAGATTAAACAAAACTTGTCTGAGGCTGCACAACTAGTGAGAGGTGGAGCTAGGTTTGCATTCAGGTCTGCCTGTCCAGGAGGAGCCCACATATCATTTGATTGGTCTTCATCATGTTACAGAAATAGTATTATCATCTAGTCCTTCTTCCTTACAGTGACTGACTTTCATTTGTGTTCTCGCCCAAGGTATCTGGCCATTGTCCACCCGCTGAGACCAAGGATGAAGTTCCAAACAGCTACTGGCCTGATCGCCTTGGTGTGGACGGTGTCCATCCTCATCGCCATCCCTTCCGCCTATTTCACAACCGAAACGGTCCTCATTATTGTCAAGAGCCAGGAGAAGATCTTCTGTGGCCAGATCTGGCCAGTGGACCAGCAGGTCTACTACAAGTCCTACTTCCTTTTCATCTTCGGCATCGAGTTTGTGGGCCCTGTGGTCACCATGACCCTCTGCTATGCCAGGATCTCCCGGGAGCTCTGGTTCAAGGCGGTTCCTGGGTTCCAGACCGAGCAGATCCGGAAGCGGCTGCGTTGTCGCCGGAAGACGGTCCTGGTGCTCATGTGCATCCTGACTGCCTACGTGCTGTGCTGGGTGCCCTTCTATGGCTTCACCATCGTGCGTGACTTCTTCCCCACCGTGTTCGTGAAGGAGAAGCACTACTTGACCGCCTTCTATGTCGTCGAGTGTATCGCCATGAGCAACAGCATGATCAATACCCTGTGCTTTGTGACCGTCAAGAACAACACTATCAAGTACTTCAAGAAGATGGTGGTGCTCCAATGGAAGACTTCTTTCAACGGGAGCAAGTCCAGCGCAGACCTTGATCTCAAAACGGTGGGAATGCCTGCCACTGAAGAGGTGGACTGCATCAGATTAAAGTAACTCCATGGGCCTTGTAAAGTTTAAATGCAAGATGGGACCTTGGGGACACCGACCAATATGCTTGTAGACAAGCATCAACCAAGAATTTTTGGGTTGCTACAGAGGGCAGAGTAAGTGGGCAACTGTGTAAATACTGCATTCAAGAAACTCAAAATTTCTAAAACTGAACTATCTACGTACTGTCACCATGGCTGCCATTCATGATCTCATTTGTGCAAAGAATAGGCAGGGATGAAAGCTAGATATGCTGAGAACATTTAGTTGGCAAAATGAAATAGAGACTAAACCAAGGAAAATGCTGTGGTGTAGACAGTCTGGGATAAAGGGTTTTCAAAAGTGAACAAGGATCGGGAACCAGCAGTTAGCGTAATGGCTATGTCGCTGGACTCCCACGTAGTCGACCGCGGTTCGCGTCCCAGACCCGGTGGCTTAAAACTCACGCCGGGCGCATGTGCGTGCGTGCCCAAGATCCCGAGAGGAGAATGGAGGAGAAGGGATTGCGGCGTGACCATCCCCCCTGGGGGGTGATTTCTCGCTTTCTGTCTCTATGTCTCTCTCTCTGTCTGTCTGGCGAGCGCACGCACCCTATAGCGAAAATCTCTCCAAAAAAAAAAAAGTGAACAAGGATCTAGGACTGTAGTACATTTGTTCTTAGTGTGTGGGTGGCTATCTCTGGACCTTATCAGCTATTCATCAGGCATTGATCTCACCTATATCTGGGAGTATTCTTAGGCTTGAGTTTACTCCTAACATTTGCAAGGCTGGGGCAAGAATATGAAAGACTGCTGACTCTTTCTGCAGCCTTTCTCTTCTCATCCTTGGTTCTGACCATCACTGTGAAGACGTGACATACATGCACACGGATATCCAGTATTCACAGCCAAGTTATGTGTAAACTCTCCCTCCAAACTGCCCTGTGGGAGCCCTAAGGTCCAGGTCCATGCTCTTCACATACATAGTGGCCTCGTAATCAGGATGTTGGCCTCGGGGAGGAAGCCACACAGACTCTGGACACCATTTGGACAGGAAGGTATGGGGTTCTGGGTTCCTGGAGAAGTCTAGAGGAGAATGCCTATGTTCAGGCAGCCATGTCTCCATGGCTCCACAAACTTTCTGCCCTGGGAGGAAGGCAGGTGCAGGTAGAGAAGAGTCCAAACGACCTCTGAAAGCATGGAGGGCTCAGGGCAGTGGCTCAGGCTCTCCAGGTGTGAGGATAACACTGCTTCCACTTTCAGTTATTCTAGCTTGGACCAGTTAGGCTTCCCCTGCAGTCCTTCCCTTCCTTCTCACATCTCCCTGATTATGAAACATAGAATTTATGGAGACACACATATTGCCTCATGGATGTGGCCTAATTATAGGCTGTAACATAATCGGTAACTTTTACATTCACATCAGCTCTCAAATGTGATATGAAGATGTTCTCTCTCCTAATCAGACAGCCTGATAAGGTTCCTTCATTGGTATGATTTGAAGGCAAGATATCTTTATTGCTGGTGACTGAATCTGTCCTACTTATTATTGTTTTGAATTAAGACTTGTGTCTCTTTTAAAATGGAGTTAATATCTAGGAAGGATAAGCTGTCATATTTCTTCTCAGTATGAATAAAGTCATGAGATCCAGTGTCAGAGGATATAGGTCGCACACGTCTACCAGGAGATGGTAGAGCTCTGGGCTCCTGGAAAGAATGGGATACGCAAGTGGGTGGTGGTGGCCCACCCAGAAGCTTCAATGACCCCACAAGCTTACAGAAGGCTCATCCCACTTTCTAATCTGCCTCCTGTCTTTCGTATATTGAATTTTGGACTTTGGAATTTTAGAACCAGAAGATCTGAGACCAAGCTTTGGCTCTGTCACCTGTATGGCCCTGGAAAAAGGCTCTCTGAGAGGACAAAGGCAAATAATAGCAACAATATCTACTGACAGAGGGGTTGTGAGGAGCCAACAAGAGAATGTGTGGAAAATGCACTCGATCACAGAAGTGGTCAAAAGAATGAACTAGTAACTGTGTAGTGTGTCCAGACAAGGAAGAGCTTGTTATCTTGCTTTATGTGTCTAGAAACCTCACCATCTCCCTCTTTCATTATTCTTTGTGTGAATTACTGTAGGCAATGCTGTGTGCATTAAGTTCCAAATAGCGTTTGGTAAAAACAGGCCATGAGATTTGGTAGCAGAAGGAAAAAAGGGTGGATGAGCTCAGGGCTTTGGAAATTCCAGAGCTTGAGTACCATGGCATGGAGATGCTAACCACCTTCCCAGTGTTTCCAGACAGAATGAATCTGGGCAAAGTGATAGTTGACTCTGAATCTTTTATTTTAATTTTCTTTATTTTCATGAGTGTGTAGAGGTACAGGGTGGACTTATTTTCTTCTTATTTAATTCCACAGCAGCACATTTTTAAGGTTAATGAACCTGGGTGGTATTTCTCTCTCCAAATAGAATCAACTCTTGATTTTTGGTAGCAAAGTTTACCCTTTGTAGTTGCTTTGTCTGGAGGACATGTTTGAGAAACCTCTCTCTTCCCATTCATCACCCAACAGACTTACTCTACACTTCAGTCAGAATGTTTTCAGAGGATAAAAACTAATGAAATATTAGTCTAGACCAGACTGTGTTTGGATTTTAAAAATGACAGAATTATAAAATGTATTGTCATTACTTTCACCATCTCCGTTAGGAATGTTAAACATGAGTTGACTGTATTAATCAGGAAATTTTTATATGCAACAACCAAATCCCTTTCTGCTTGTCAGCCCAAATTGTGTCAATTTTTCACTCATTTAATGATATGAGATTTCTAGAGGTTAGTGTCTATTTGTGATTTTATAGTGAATGCAAATATTGTGCTGTTATCAATTCAAATAAAAGTAAAAAATATGGGTATATATATATATAGTTGTTGAATAGTTGTTGACCATAGTGGTCCCATAATTTCCACCGCTCTCCACCGAGCTTTTTTAGTTATAGTGCTTTTTTAGTTATTGTGTGAATACTGAGTGGCTTCCTATGAATTGTGAGGTCAGGGCCAACTCATGCTCTTATTGTCTACAAGCTTCTTTTCTCCTCAAGAGATATAAGTGATTTATATATCCCCTTCCTATAAGTCTGCTCTGGTAAAACCATTAGTACTTTTTAGCATCTGAGTGCCAAGGTTTGAAATCTGAGGACACATTTATGCCCTTTACATAAGCTAAGGCTAAAACTCTGAAGAGACTGAATGTCTCCATATGCAAAGTGACCAGAGACGAACCTGCAATGCCATGCCATGCTCAGGTTCATTCTGGGCCTAGGGGATGGCATCTTCAAAAAGATTTACCAAAGGTGAGCTTGTTGCTTCCGTGTTTCTTTTCTGTTCTCTAAATACCCTCAATATGCAGAGAGGTTAATAAACACATAGTTTTATACAGAAGGATACAAGAATGATTAAAAAAAATCAAAACATTTCTGTAACTAAAGTAAGAAAAGAATAGATTTACAGCAAAGTTTTTGGAGATTTTTGCCTACTGAACACATAAAAAATAATTTCTTGGGGGTTTGCAGGTGGCATGGAGGGTAAGGGTGCTGGATTCCCACATGGCCAACTGTGGTTTGAGTCCTGGACCTGGCAGCTTGCTTTCTTACTTTCCCTCTCTCTCTGTACCACTCCAGTCAAATGAAAACAAACAAATAAATAAAATAATTCTAAAAAAAAATTTCTTGAGTCAGCCACTGGCGTGGTGGTTAAGTTGGCTGCATCTCACATGGTTGACTGGAGTTCGAGTCCCAGACTGGACGGCTTGAAAACCATGCAGGGAATGTGTGCATGCATACTCAAAATCCCAAAAGGAGAATGGTGGAAGAAGGGCAGTGTGACCATCACCCATGGGAAATATTTTCTTATTTTTCTTCACTCTGTCTCTCTCAGGCAAGTGCATACATCCTCTGGCAAATTAAGAAAAAAAATTTTTTTAAAATCAAAAACACTAAAACAAGGCAATGAGACAGGTGTCACAGTAAGCCCTGACGTTTGAAACAAGTTTCATGATCATCATGGAAAAGAACACAAAAGCATTTGTGAGATGACGAGAAAATTATAAATATGGGCAGTGTTTCTTAAAAAAAATCTGATGAATTTTGGAATGTGTCTTCAGAGAATGAGTCCAGTTTTCCTTCCCAGAGTGTGAGAATCTCCAATTCCATCTGTTCATTTTATGAGTGATGAAACTGAAGTCCAGAATGAGGTAGGGCTATGTTCAAGGTCACACAGCCGTCACTGTGAGAGACGGGATCAGACCCCAAGGCTCCTTAGTGCAGAGTTCCTCTACCACAGTAATCTTGGATACAGGGGACATCAAAGCATACAAAAGGTAAGATCCTTTCCAAGAATCCTTAAGGTGGCTGTTCAGTCCCAGTTTGACTTTCTCTGGAGACACTTAAGGAGTCTAGCAGAGACATTCCTGGTTCTTTTGCAAGCCAAGTTTAGCTCATTCGACCCCTGAGATCTCACAGCACAGAGTGGGAGGCCAGGAAGTTTTAGGGAAGAACTGCCTGGAAATGTTTACAGATGCTCTCTTTCTTTATCTTGCCTTGCTGAACCTCTCTAGGAATGAAAAAGAAAGGCACTAGGGGACCAGCAGATGGTGTAACGGTTATGGTGCTGGATTCACATATAGTTGACCGCAGTTTGAGTCCTGGACCCGGCAGCTTAAAACTCACTCTGGGCCTGTGCATGTGTGTGCCCAAAATCCTGAGAGGAAACTGGAGAAGGGATTGTGGCATGGCCATCTCTCAGGAGGGTGATTTCTCACTTTCTGTGTCTCTGTCTCTCTCTCTGTCTCTCCAGCGAGTACACATGCCCTATGGCAAAAATATCTCTTAAAAAAAAAAAAAAGGAAAGGAAAGACACTAGATCCCCGCACATGAAGAACAACTGCCCTCCCTGAGGGAAGCAGAAGAGGAAGATAAAGAAGCGATGCTCGCCTGCACGTCCAGACTGGTGGGCAGGCCCCATGTGCTAAGAGCTCCATGGCATCGCAGAGCTACCTCTGTGCTCCTGCCAGTGAGGACAAGAGAGATGTGGGAACCAGGGATCTTTGGATGAGATAGGACTTGAATTGGACAGCTAGGATATAGAGAAGCAAAAGAGCAAGCATCCTACATAGGAAGAGAAACTTCTTTTCTTCTTATAAAATTGGCTGTTGGATACTGACATTTCTTTTTTACCCTGGAGTAAAAACTTCTCACAGAACGATGGGATCGTAATACTTGGGAGAGGTAACTGAAAAATCATGAAATATGTTAGTCAGTCATATCAGAGCCTTATCTGAGAGTGGGTTTGGATAGAAGGGAAAAAGGAAGGAAGAGAAGCTGCAGGAAACTTATGAAGCAAGCCTGGATGATAGGGTGAGGAAGGAAAAAAATAAGA